TAGTACTCCTCAAATTGCCAGGACTTTCTTGATATGCTCACTTTACAGTGTGTGGGCTGTTATGTGGCATCTTTAGTTTTATAGAGAGGAAATTTCCTCAAAGTATTTTTCCTTAGTATAATTATAGGTATGCCAGACATTCTTGAGTGTGATCAGATTTATCAGAATGTAATGTCAGAACTTCAGAAATTAGCTGTTTTGATTTTTTTTTTTTAGGTGGTGATTTTGATCTTAAAGATTTTCTGTAGTTGGTCAATAAATTTTTTATAAAAATGTCAAAATAGGCTACTGCTGCTGTGATTTATCAGGGTTTTTGCTCATCTGGGGTAAATCAGGATAATTCTGTCCTGTAAACTGTTCCCTTTTCAGCTGGTCCCATTCAGTTGCCCATTTAATACTCAAATAGCACTCAGCTCTCTTCACAAGCATTCAGAAAATCTGAGCTGTAGCTTTGTTAAGTTCTGCCTCTTGTTAGACCCTCTTACATGTTGAGGGATTCATGGCTTGTTCTCTTCCCTACCTCCCACCCCCATCCCAATTTGGACTCTGAATTCTTCCTTTTTGATGAATTTTTCTGGGGTATGGTTTGGTTTTGCAGGTGTATCCCTCTCCCAGGAGAGTTGTTGAAAATTTCCCGTACTCAATACCTTCCTACAGAGGAATTGCTTTATTGGGCCTGTTAAAACTTTATTACTGATACGTAGTAAATCTAACACTGAAGTAGATAAAAATTTATTTTGCATTTCCTTCACTGCAGTACAATGAAAACCTGGTGTTCTGTCTCTGCCTTACCCTCTCCCCCATTTCAGACAATTTTTTTTTTTGTCAGGTAAATTTTTTTCCCCTGAGATTTCCCTTTTATGAATAATGCTGTATGATAAAGATAGCAAAATTAGTGACAGTTTACATAACACACTATCTTTGAAATCTTCCTTCTTTGAAATCTGAATTGAATAGAGACAAGAATAAATGTATAAATTAAAATTAGTCTGAAAAGCAAGCTCTAGATCATGAGTTAGGCTGAAAATAACAGTTGTCAGACATAATGGAGCTTTCTCACGACCGATCCATCTGCAAGAGAGTTTCCTTTTCACAGTCCCACAGGCAATTAACATTTTAGATACTGTGTAATAGGTCACGTTTTCTTTTGGTGTTTAGGATTTGAAAGATGAGAAGAAAAAGGCTAGAATGGCAGCATCCAGGGCTGTTCTTGAGAAGTGCACCATGATGCTTCTGACTGCCTCAAAGGTGAGTGAGGATGCGTGCTCTTGGATAAATCAGAGTACGGCACCTGGCAGGATAGCTGACTCTTCGTTCTCAGCCCCACTGTAAACGTCATGCTAAAGAAGGGTGTAAGAGTAAAGAATGAGTAGAGGAAAACCCTTATATTCCGAGTAATGTTTTGGATTGTACTTGACACAATAGCAATTTAACTGAAGGAATTTATCATATTCTGACATATTCTTTAGACTTGCCTAAGCAGGAAGCATTCATTTCGCTATACTGTGTGTGTACTCATTCATAATACTTTGCTTTCTTTAAAAAGACTTGTCTGAGGCATCCAGACTGTGAATCTGCTCGCATAAACAAAGATGGAGTTTTTCATCGGATGAGGTTAGCCTTGGAACAGGTAATAGAAATTGTGACTGACTCCAGACCAAATGGAGAAAATGAAATGGCCCCCATCAGCATATATTCTGGCATCAAAGAATTCAAGGTAAGAGTAGAAATAATACTGTTTTCTACAGCCTAATTAATTCTCAAAAGTAGAATTTGGGGAAAATAAAATGAATTTCAAATGATGGAGCTACATCTTTTCAGGAGTGTTAAGTTAAATAACTGTCCCAAATGTTTGAGAATCTGGCAAGAGGTGGTTACAATTTCATTGTTGTTGCTAAAATACATCTTCTGATACTTGCCATCTCCTCCTGAATCAGAATACATTCAAGGTGATGCCTTGAACATTGAATAAACATAAGTATCAGGATACTGCTCAGAACTTCATTAAAATAGCTGTGGAAGACTTCTTGCTTTGTAATTGGTAGTGCTTTTAAAACTGCACAAAAAAATATTAATCCAAACATTTAAAAGAGTGAACTGTCATTCAAAGGAAATGTTATGAATTGAAATTGTATCTTGTAGCTCTATTTTTCTTGATAAGGCTTTTAAAATTTTCATACTTGATTAAGAACAGTTAATGAACAACCATGTCTTATTTCTGTCTTTTCCTTGAGAATTTGGTTGAAATTTTTTGTGAAGTGCCTTAAAGTATTCAATTTGCAATATGATGATATTGATGTGGAAAGATCAAACAAAATCCGAATACACAATTTCTGAAACTTACTGAACTTATTTTGATTGACAGCAGTAGAACAGTAATGTGTTTGCTGTTACTTCTGATAAGTGACCAGTTATTTGCTGATGGTATTATTACATTAAAAAAAAAATCCAAACCCCTAAACTGGAGGTCTGGATACAAGCATATTGTTGGATTACTTTGAAAATAAGTGAACAAAAATTTAAAAAAAGCTCTGAGCAGAAAAATAAAATGTTAAATGATGTATCTATTTTCTGCATTTGCGTCGCAAATGTGTAACCACATGGATTCTCAAGGGATTATATGCTTCTTTTTCAGAATAAGGTGGAGGGTCTTCGTGAGAATCTGTGTTTTCTCTCAAAAGAGAACCTTTCCACAATGCTGGAAGTTATCCTGGAACATACGGAAGACTTCACAGACTCTGCCTATACCAGTCACGAGCACAGAGAACACATTTTGGAGCTGTCTAAGCAGGCTAAGATGGAACTAGAGCAGCTGGTTTCAGTGTGGATGCAAGCTGTAAGAGCTTTTTAGCAAAGTAAATCTTTTCACCTCTACTTTGGAAAGAAATATTGAATGCAGTGTTTCCTCTGCTCTAAGAAGAGAGATCTGTGTGTATTGCTCACAGTGAGAGCTGATCAAGGAAGCCAGAGTTTGTTCTGTGCTTCTGCAGATTCAGTATGTTGTATCTTCCCCCTGCCCCAGTGGTGTTGCTTCATTGATTCTTTGATGGCTAAATTAGGCTACTTAAGGTGTTAGCCTCATTTTAATGAAGCTGTTAGTGGAAACAGGAAGACAAGTGGAAGTGTCATTGCATAGTCTTATGAAGTCAAGTCTTTTGGTTGAGTAGTTCAGAGACTTCAATTGTCTTGATCCCATGGCAGTAACCGTAGTTTCTCATTCTTGTTTTCAACATAATGTTGAAAACACGTAAACTATTGAAAACAGAAATATTCTTAAAATTGACTTTTTTTTAATCTTGTGAAGAGAGGAGATATGAGAAAGAGACATTAAGACTTACAAGGAAATTTTTGTTTGTCCTTTTTCTGAGGTTTAAATAATGGTAGTTTTCCTTTTTAGAGAAGAAGCACATTAAGCCTCCTTCTGTCATGTGTTTTATCTCGTTTCTTGAACACGATAGAGGATACATGTAAAAGGAGGAGGAAAGCACAGACAGAAAATACAGTTTGTTTTTCTGATGCTGACTCTGAAATACGGCAGATGTGTACTAATATAGGATATTTAACTGAGTGTATGTCTTATGAGAGCATTTTTGTTGCTTTTCTCCTCTTTGAATCAGCTGTTGCAGTCAGGCATTCTTAATGCAGTAGTGCAGTTTGAAGAGCATATAAATCTTACTGGTAATATTGACATTATTTGTTGTTATTACAAAGAGGACACATGTAGAATATTAACTGCATAGAATCTTGTAACTATAAGAAACTAATACTGTGTTTAGCATGGTGTTGGTGGTTAGCCCTGGTAGGCAGCTGTATAAGCACTTCTTGTCAATAGCTTACACATCCCAGTGTTATCAGCACTGTTTTTATCACAAATCCAAACGAGCACTAGACCAGATGCTATGAAGAAAATTAATTCTGTCCCAGCCGAAACCAGTACACTTGGATATTTCTAAGCTCTGTTACTGGTAGAAACTGATCACCTCTAGATAATTTACATGCTTCATTTCAAGTAGTAGAAATGAAAGCCTAGTACAAGACTCTGCATATATATGATCCATGAAAATACTTGGGTGTGCACATGTGTGCTTCTGCATTAAGTATTTTGATTAATAAATAAGCCAGCCTAGCTGTGACTGAAGATGCTGAAAGCAGATAGAATAGCATCAGCTCACTGAAGTGGCTTTTTAGTTTCAGCTCAGCAGCTTCACTGGAGGGTGAATATTCTCTAAGGCACTTAATGTAATTCAAGTGGGATTATTTATTTTAAAAAAATATTATGATGCCTTCATATTATCATGAATTGGGGGATATATAGAGCTCTTCGAGTGCCTAGTTGTTTCCCTTTCCATTCACCATACTTCCTTTTAGCAAGCAGAGTGAGTCTTCAGTGAAGAGTATATGTTAAACAGAAGTGGCTTGTAACCTAGGTCAAGTCTAAATTAGATTTGACATCACTGATCTGCTCTTGTTTGTATTAGTGTACGTTAATGAAAACTAGCTGGAGCACAACAGATAATCTAATGCTGTTGAGTGAATTTTAAATGTTTCTGAAATCTTTCCTGTGTATGTTCAAGCTCATATAATTGCAAGCTACTGTCCTGATTTAGGTTTTCCTGCAACCTTATCTTGTCTAGGCAATCCCTTTGCTTGTGTTTAAACAAAAAACACCACCAAAAAAACCCAGACACATGGAAAAAGCAATAAAAATTATATCTTAAATAAATAAAAGAAATAAAAAGCATACACTAGTGAGTGTAAAATACTGTGCTCCTTGTGTCATTTTGTGATGATATGCTTTTACACAGATTACTTGAAGGAAAGCATTAAATTTGAGGGACAGGTAGTTTTGAGACTTAGAACAGACTTGAATACCTGAGAAATTGATCATATTGGCTGGGTGTTGGGTTTTCTTCCTTTTAAATAAAGGAAGGGGTGCATGTCTAGATCTACATACATTTTGTGTGTATGTTTATGTTAATTTAGACTCTGAGGGGTTTTTGCAGCTATGGACGTGTTATGGTCCCACCTAGAATTATTTTCTGCAATATATTTTGGAGGAGAATGCATAATGACTGCTACTTAACTCTTTTCACAGTGTATGTCTCTTGTCATTTGACTTGTTCCATAGGTAGGTGCTATTTGCAGAAGTGGGAAGCTACTGTCTTGAAGCTACCTCAACAAAATGTTGTTAGCTATTGGACTTATTTAAATTGGACAATGATCTAAAGCCTTACAAGGATGCTTTAAGTACCCCTTTTATAATGCAATGTAGGACATTTGGTATAATGTTTTAAGTAATGCTTTATTTTTAAAGGGTATTTATAATTAAAAAAAAACCTTAAACTGTTGCTCTACTTTGGGTTGTTTAGATGGAAGATTTTTGGAAATTGTAAAGCTTAAGGAAACCCTTTTTCCTGAATAAAGCTTAGTGAGTTTTACAAATAAATTCCTGATGAATAAAAGCAGTCAAGTATCTTGCATTGCTATTATTTTTAGATCTGATTCGGTAGTAAATGTTTCTGTAAGGGAATTTTTCAAGGAAAATATACACAACATGTGCAAATGAAAATGTATCTAGAAAGAAGTGACTTTCTTCTAAAACAACTTGATGTAATGACACATGATGTCAAGGTGGGATTTGCTGTGGTTTTTTGTGTAATGTTTTGTCGGTTGCTTTCTTTGGCTTGTAGCAAAACCAAAAGACAAAGGATCTCATGGAAGACTTGGAAGTAGCCATTTTAAAAACATGCCAGTGCATGAATGAACTTAAAAGAGAGGTAAGCCTATTTTAAGCAAGCATAAACTGAACGAAAGCTTGAATTTCTTACTTCTTTTAAGTGAAGTTGCAAAATAGGATCCTGTACCCAAAAAGGCTGCTTATCTCTTTATAGACAAGAATAGCTACATCAGAATTACATCAGGGAGCTAGTATGCAGCTGTCTTCTGTGTCCTTACTTAAAACTGATTAGAAATCTGCTGGATATGTAGGCTCTTTGTTAACAACTCTGACAGCAATAAAAAAGAGAAGTGTTTGGAAATACTACCGTGTATATAATCATAACTGTAAATGTAACGACTGAACTTTTTTTGTAATGCATGCATCACTGTTTTAAATACTTTTTCTTGTTAATGTATGCATAATTGAATAAACTACATTTGCTCTTTGCTTTTACTTAACCTGTTCTATGATTTGTATAGCAGAAATATGCCTTATACTCAGGTGTTTTTCTAGACAGTTGGCAGCTGCTTATGTGCTTGTTGTAAATCATTCTTTTCCTAAATGCAAGCGTGCTGGGTGCCAGCTTACATACACGTACAAGATAGCTGTCTCATTGGTACATGGGATGGACTGCGATTGCTGATCAGGGTCCTTGCTCTCCATTTTAACAGATAGTATTGGTGCCTGGTCTGTTCTACAGATTTCAGCCAAATACAGAATTAGTGGCTTCTGGCAGCTTCCAAAATATTTGCAGAGCATTCAGATATCTTTTCAGCTGCTTCATGTTATTGTTCCTTTAAACAGATGGAAAAATGAAGACTAAGGAGAGTGAGGGTTTCAATGCTAGGCTACAGAGCAGTGCAGAGGTGTTGGAGATGCACGGTGAACTTGGTCAGACTGAGCTCTCAGCTGCTGTAACTGGAAAACCTTGAGTGCTCAAAAAATCATGCTGTGTATTTTTAATAGAGGCAAAATTAGAAATTTGTCCTCTGGATTATAATTTCCACAGCTGTCCTGAAAATCTGAACAGTGCTTTGTATCGATTTCAGTTGCAGTGAAGTGGTTTGCACTTCTGCTGTCAGACAGTGTGTTGGGCCCCCGGAAAATGAAAGATGCAGAATTTGTGCACTTTGATTAGTAGTTTTTCCTTTGGTCACAGTTATGTAGGAAGTCAGTAGCAGAGCTTTTCTGGAGTGACATTCATCTGCTTTAACTGTAAGATTATCCTTTTTGAGTAACATTGCTCCCGTGTGCTGAATGAGGAGGAGGGGTTCCCAGTAAAAATGGTTCGCAACAACGTAATTGCACAAATCATAAAGCCAAAGGTGGCTGGAATATAGTGTATGGAAGAAATAGTTAATATCTTTTATTTTCTAGCAGCTCCATAAATGTAAATCTTACCATATTGTTCTGCCCACGTGTTTCTATTTATGAAAATGTCATACAATAAAGACTATGTTTGTGACACTTAAGTTACAGAATTTTGTCATGCGGCAATAAGAGGAAATTCCCTTCTGTAAACCAGCTAACAAAGGTGGCATAAAATACAAAATAGTGGGTTACCTGTGCCCTGTGATGTCGCTCCATATTAAAAGCAATGTTGGTGGAAAAGTAGCATGCTGGTTTAGAAATTATGGAAGAAATTGAGTGGGTTTGGATTTCTAAACTAACAGATCCTAAATTCTGTATGACTGACTTTGGTGGCCTGTATAGTATGAGAGCTTGCTTAGCAATAGCTTTTATAAAATGCACAGGATTAATGCTACTCGTAGAAGTAAATTTAGAGTATTACATAATTTTCCTTGTTCTCTATGTAGTGACAGGATTGATCCCAGAGTAGCAATGCTTTGTACATGGCTGAGAATGACTGTCCTGTCAGTCTGACTTTGGATGCTGCAGTGTATCAGCAACCAGGCTCCCTGCTGCTGAAATTTAAGTATTGTGACTCTAATTAAAATGTTTTTGAGAGCCTGGGTGGCTGAGAACAGAAGACAGCCTTGTTAGAAGTAGTTCTTTCCCATCTCTGTCACTTTATGGAAGAAACAAAAGCTGTATTCCTTCCTTGAGATGATTTTCTTGCTAATGATCAGAGACAGCATTAAGTAGAAGTAAATTTCTTTTTTAGATCAGGATGAAAAGAATTTTTAATGAAAAGGGTAATCTCTATGTAACCTATATATAAATGAGAATTGCCAGTTCCTACTCGTTACAAGCCTTGCAGATATCCCTTATTCAGAGCTGACTTCATTTCTGAGATCAGTGGTTTGTGCTAATTTTTAATGGCATGTGAACAATGCTAAAGAAATAGTTTATACCAGGTCGCCATCGCTTTTTTTTTTGTAAAAACCAGTTGCAACAGGTTTTGAGGTGACAGTTCAGAGTTTCTGCATGAAATTAAGAAACAAACAGAAAACCCCTGAAAACCTAATTCTGGACTGCACAGACAGTGTTGCTAAGGGAAGGAGGGGAAATAGGTAGAGTCCAGTGGAATAAAAATCTCCAACATGTTGTCCTAGTAAACGTTCTCTTCTCTACAGAGTGAAGGCCCACCAGTGTCACAATTTCAAGTACATTGCATTCAGAAGAACTTGAAAACTAACTTTCTTCTTCAACAGCCAAGGTTGTTCAGTGCAGTCCAGCTGAATGAGTATAATGTTACAGGACTCATAATAGTATTATAAACATGGAAGTGCTCTGCTGTTTCTAAAGAGGTTGCTATTTTAGTTTTACCTATATTTTTAAAATGGGGCTGATGACAGGGCATAGGTAAGCCTACTATGACTAGTCATTAGAACCAACAGCAGCAGTCACTTCTAGCTGTTGTCAAGCAGAGCCCTTCACAGCCCAGTCTCAGCAGATCCATGGCTCTGAAACTGTGTCTGAATTTAGGGCTGTGTTTCAAGAGGAAGGTTCTCCTTGCTTGTTGGGAGGTTAGGGAGAGCGCTTGGGACTTCTCCAAGACCTATCAGTCTCCTTGCAAAAGATGCTTTTTACTTTTCTAAGGCTGTGTCACAAGCTGATTATATTCTAACTTTTCTTTGCATCACTGAGAATTTGATTTATCCATAGGAACTTAGTTTCTAGTATAGTATAAACTCAGATGATGTGTGGCTTTGGTGTGATGCTGTTAAAGTGTGTTCATGAGCTGTAGAGGGGCCATTGTGCCATGCTTATGCTGAGATTGGTGCTCTAAAATTTGCACCTGTTTTTTTCCCAGCTGTAACGTTATCAGAAAGCAGCAGTGTGGTAACTTCATGTCCCGATTTTACCCAGCTGCTCTTTTGTTTCTCTCCATATTTGGTTGTGGGTGGGATTTTTTGGAGTGCACTGGATTATATCTTTGTACTTTGAATAGTAATTGAAGAAATAAAGCCTCAGATAATAAGCAGGCTGTATATGAGCTTTCATGGCAGTAATTTTTTTACTTCTTGGAAAAATCAGTTTGTCCTTTAAGGTGATTTGATTTGGTACTGGATGCAGTTTTTGTCTTCCAAGGTTTATTTCTCCTTCTTTTTATGCTATTCAAGGTCCACAGTGCAGCAACGTCCTTTGCATCAGATCTGCTAAAATACCATACAGATCATATGGTTCTCAAAGCATTAAAAATCACAGGAGTAGAAGGAAATCTTGAAGCTGTAGCAGAATATACTTGCAAGTTGTCAGAACAGAAAGAACAACTTGTTGAGGTGAGTTCATGGCTCCTTTCATTTTGTAAGGCACTTAGAAAATGAGTGGCCAGATTTGTCTTAATCTATTCTTTAGGAAGGTTTTGAGGTGGTTTTTTATAGTTTTTATTTTATTTTCTGAGTGTAGTGTTGAATTTTGTACTGGTTTTGATATGATCTGAGCCAAAGGAGTCACCATGGCAGACAGTTGTGAAAGGGATGTACAGTCTTACCCAATTCTCCTTCTGGACCTCGATGCTAACTCATTTAACTCTGTATTATCCATATGTACGTACTGGGGCTAAAATATTAGTTGAAAAATAGGTTTCTAGATCCAAGTACACATGATAGATAGACATTTTCTTTCAAGCAGTAGGCATCCAGCAACAGCTTAACCTAAAGACACACTTTTAGAATGCTGGGAATGTAAATTTAAGTTTCTTAATCCACTTAACTTGATTGTTTTGAAGATCTTGTGTAGTTTTTGTAAGTCAGCAGAGGGCCACTGAAAATCTGTTCTCCTTCATGAAAAGCAGTGTGTATGTTTCATGTGCTGATACAGGCATGGTTTCGTATGGTAGTATTAACACATGTGACCAAATAATACTTCCAAGACTACTGAGACATCATGGCTCCTAGGAGTACCTATGGAGGGGATCTCTACTATGTATTCCTTGTTGCATTCTAGTCTGACAGATAGAGAAAATTATCCATGAGCAGAAGGAGATAATGTGGTCTAGAACAAGCCTGAAGTGGCAGCATTAGAGAGATATTACTGCATTTATGAGTGTTCCTCACTTCCAACACACAGTATGAGATAGCACAAAGAATACTACTGCAGGGGCCTCCTGGATTTATCCGAGACCTTTGCTTTCTCTTCCTGGTAATGACATTAACAGGATGGCCTCTTTTTGTGTTCCTTTCCAAGATGATGAGGGTTGCCTTTTCAGCCTGCCATATTTGTGATACATGGTGTTAAGCAGAGGTATTGAGCTGTGTGAAGAAGCACATGTTGTGCGAGCAAGGCTTGCTAAGGTGGTATTAGTGCACTGAGCTAGGTGGAGTGACGACAACCTGAGTTTCATAATTTGCATTTATATTTTCTCTATGCCAGAACTCTTTATGGAATTTTAGCATTTATACAATGTTGGTATGTTGAACTTTTCAGAGCACAGATTGTAGTATCTACTCAAACAGAACTTCCCAATTTCCTTCTTAGGTTTTCAGGCATAGTGCGGGGAATTTTGTTGGTTTTCTTTTGGTTTGTTTGTTTGGGTTTCGGTTTTTTTGGTAAAGAATTATTCAGTAGTGTGTACATATAAGGTTTTGCTTCACTTCTACAAATTCTGTTACATGCTGTGGTATTAAGGTGGAGCAGAAGTAACTGCATCAGTAGAAGACATACAAATATATACCATTTTGATCTGGAACATGGTGATGCCAGACACTATGCTTGCATGGCATCTAATACACATAAATTTCTAAAAAATTCTGATATAGCATGGGGCTTGAGTATTCATCCCAGCAGCATGAATATGCAGAAGCAACACTCTTGAACTTCCAGGACTGGTAAATCAATGCCGTGGACTTTTAATTTCAGCTTTAATGACTCCTTTTTCTGTGACTAATTAGTGTTCCAGTGCAACACTGATTTTTATTTTATTTTTTTTTCCAGGCATAACCATGAGGTTAAATTCTTTTTATGTGAGGCCTTATAGGATTTCTGATGATGGACAGTGCAGTTAGTTTCAGATGTGTTGTCTCTGTATGAAATTCTCCTTTTGATCTGCAAACTATAGTATCCCATCTCAGCCCAAAGTTCACACTTAATCTTACTTTAAAAAAAAAAGAAAGGAATGTCTACATTTTGCTTACTGTGGTAAAAAACAGTGTTTCTTCCCTAAAGTATTTGATGCTGATTTGCTCAAAGATAATTCAGTCCCCTGGATGATGAAAGCCTAAATTTTCCACATGGTTGCTAATTTCCGAGTAAGCCTGTTTTGGTGAAGTCATTTATACTGCAATTTTTCCAAGTTCTGTAAGTGTCTTATTACTTTCAGGTTTGTTCAGTCGTAAGTATGTGAAGTTGTTGTTGTTGTTGTTGTTGTTGTTGTAGACTTTTCTTTATTAAGACTTTCTTGGTTATTTTCTACACATTCCAAGTCAGGAGTTAGTCCTGTTTTTATTGTGAATGCCTCCTGAGAAATGCTCGGCTGTGCAATCTCCAATAAGTTTGTGAAAGTACTATTGATAACTGTGTGTTTGTGCATGTGCTCCTTTTCTCACTACTAATGAAAGAATATTTTTTACCATTCTTTTCTCTTTATAAAAAATATTTAGATGTGTCGCTTATTGAGGCATGTTTCTGGAACTGAGCCCCTCGAGATTACTTGCATACATGCAGAAGATACCTTTCAGGTCACTGGCCCACAGGTATGTTTAGCTTTTATCTGGCCACTTCTACTGGACATAAATAAATAAAAATTACTTCCTTGAATTTTTTGGTGAGCTGATGTTGAACTGTTCAAAGCAGGTCTAAGGAAGAGCTATGCTTTAATGTTGGGCAGTAGCTTAAAGAATGCATAAGGAAGATCATCAAGCCTGCAAATCGCAGATGAATGCACCACGAAGATAACAGTAGTAGCGGTTTAGTTTTGTATTTTGCCTGTGAAGGCATTTGTAAATTCATGTGCAACACTATTTACTAGGACTTATAAAGGTAAATATTTTGGGTTTTGTCCAGATAATTTCTGCTGCAGAAACACTGGCATTACATCCATCGAGCAAGATTGCAAAAGAAAATCTTGAGGTGTTCTGTGAGGCCTGGGAGTCTCAACTGAGTGACATGTCTTTGTTGTTAAGAGAAATCAATGATGTGTTTGAAGGAAGAAGAGGTAAGAATGCTATGTACAAATAGAAAAATGTATTTTTCAAATTATCAAAACATCCAAGAATTTTAAGCATGATTTAGGAAATACTGTTTTCTTAAGAGAACAGCGCAATAAGCAGTGCCACATTACATATGACAATGTGGAAGGTAGATGGCAATACACAAATGTATTGGTTTTGTATAGATGTCAAATTGGGGTGCTTATTGGATTTTTTCAAAGAAAAACAGCCAAAAGTTTAAATGCTTGATTTTTTTTTTTTTTTAAATTAGATGTGTTTAACTTTCTGCACTGTGATTAGTTCCAGCAAAATCAAATGAAACTGTTCAAAGGACATGAAAGTAGTTAATACAGCTCTTTGCTAAGTGTCCAAATATTAAGGGTGTGGGGCTTTCATCCCACCGTCATCAGTTCATGATAATCAACATGTAACTTGAATTGTGTGACGTATTTAATTCATTTCTTGTATTTCTGGGAAAAAATAATATTTATATATACACACATATATATTCTATACTGTCAGCTTGCCTTGTATTCACTTCATAATGTAGTGAATGTAGTTATTTGATTTTTAAACTGCTGTCCTTTCTCCTGGATGGAATCTCTGACGACTCTGCACTATCTTGGGATATTTTCTCTGGTTGGTAAGTTTATTGGTATTTGTACAACATGTAGAGGAAATCCTTGGAATCTTAAGAAAAAAAAAATCTGTGTTTACTTTTAGCATAGGACAATTTACCTTAAAAATGGAAGCCAGTTTGTTTTCATTTTTTATCTAGCTTAATTTTTTTTCAGATTATGTCTTTAGTGTAGCCTGTCATACTTCTTGCAGCTACGTGTTACTTTCAGTCTCTAAGGCATAATTGCATACAGGTAGAATGTAATAGATAATAATACTGAATGTCTTGTATTTTTATGAAAATCACTCAGGTTTAAAAGTTTAGATTTAGTTACATACAGGGACATTTTTTTGTATCTAAGATACAGAAAAAGTAAATCCTTATTCAGGTTAGATGACACTTTATCAACAATACAGTGCTTTGTCTTGCTATTAACATGCAATTCTTTAATTTTTTGAGTTTATTTTGTCAGTTTAACTTTCTGTTCTTGATCAGGTTTTTGTGTAAGCAGTTCTTTTCTGCCAGCTTTGCTGTGAGGACAGTAAACAACCAACCACAGGGCAGTACTATCTTAAATTGTTGCTGCTGGTTGCTACATGAATGTGTGTCTGAGCCTGAAGACTTGTAAAAGGAAAACGTATATTGAAATTCTGACTGGATTTGCAATAATTGTGTGTAGCAAAGGTTATTGGGAATTTGAGGTGTTTGAGAAGTACGTGATTGTTATCCTACTTGTTCTTCCACCATAGTCTGGAGTGCCATATAAAGATGTGTAGCAATGCATTAGATCAGCAATCCTGTTTATGGGCCTTTTAACTTTCAGTGGGGATTTTGTTTGTTTTGGGAACCAAGAACATACTGAGTTTCTTTAAAAATATGGTATTACTCTAACATTAACATATTACAATAAATGGAATTTGTAGGGCTGATTATGCAGTTACCTGATTGTTTTTCAAATTCACATAATGGTCTAGCAAGGTCGTATATATTTATATATATGTTTCCATATGTGTGCACACATACACATTATTTTTAAAGACAGTAAATATATTTAAATATTTTAAATGTATTTAAAAATAGTAGGATGAGAATCACAGCAAAGTACATACTTGGCTCTCAAAACAAATAGTTCTTGAAGAGTTACAGCAAATTCCCAGCCTCTCCTGTAGTTTGTAACTTTCTCTTCTTGTGTCTGTTGACAGGAGGTAATGTTTTGCACAAATAGTACTCTCCAGTTTCTTTAAAGCACAATTTCACAAGGCATCCCCAATGTCATTGCTTGAAGGAAACAGAAGAGGATGGGAAGGGGTTTTTGTGCTTGTTAGAGCATGTGTGGGCCTGGGTGCAGTGGAGAGTAACTCCTCCTGTTTGGCACAGCCAGATGTGTCTGTTCTTGTTAGTGTCTCTCATTTCCTCAGTCTGTCTTTCAGCACGAAGTGTTCTGATACCACCCATGATGAGATAGTAAGTGTAGCTTCTATTCTTTATAATTGTCTTGGGTGCATTAGGTCTTCTGTTGCCAAAAGCAATGCTTAAGAAATCATGTCCCAGTTTTCTTTGTCTTTTGGCCCAGCCTAGTAAGGGACTTCTCTCTGAATCTGGATTGTTTCATATTAACTGTTAGTTACCTCCTTAGGAATAATTTGGTCTCCTAGATCCACCCATCTTCTACAAAGTTTCCTCTGTATTGTGAGCTGATCTTTTTTTGTTTTCTTGTTTTCTCGTTGGACTTCAGAGTGACTCTTGTCAGAAAGAAAAGAAAAAATGTCACCCAAATACCCCCACCTTTCAGCTTCCAGAAAATACACTGAAGTTACCTTGCCACTTTCAACTTTTTCTCCTAGAAAACACTACTAATGTCCCAATAAATAAATTAAACAAAAAAAAAGTTTTCTAAGAGATTGTAAGAGTGGCATTCACAAAACTTATGCCTCCAAAGACAATGAAGTTTCACAGTGTTTTATAACATTTTATTCTTCTTGTAACTCATGATACTTATCTTAATGTTGAGGTTGGTAAAAGTATCTTTATTGTACAGACTAAAATGTAACAAGTGCTTTATTCCTAGTAGAATTGTGATTGAGTGTAACAAAAGATAGAATTACAGTAAGAAGGTATATATTTTTTTCCTCCTCAGTTTAAAAACTTGTATTTTTGTACTACCAATTTAATTGTTTGGCTTTGTTAGAGACTTCAGAATACAGCTTAAGAGGTACAAGTTGAATGATGACTAAATGTGCTGGACACATCTAATAAAATAAGCGTTTTTCTGATTACACTAGATTCATATTGTTTACACTGGTTTTTAATTACTATTTTTAACGAGAAATTGCGTAACTATTCAAGTGTTTTCTTCATATCAGCAAAGTAGATATTTCTTATACTGAGGCTCAAAACTCACATGGATATAGAGCCAACTTTGGCTTGGAATGAAGAAATATTTTACTGGATTTTTATGTAATCACTCCAGATCATGCCCAAATTGAAATGGACTTGTCTTAAGGAGGGAGGCCTGCACACACACACGAGGTGAGGGAGGTTGGTGACCACACCACAGGCCAGTAACCCTATGTGTATGTGTTGAAAACGTCTCTGTGCTATGGAGAACTGTTCAGCAAGGTAGAGTTGGACTTCTTAATCTTGAAGCACTTTTTAAACCAGTGCTGAGGAGGACCTTTCTGCACCATTGTTGGTCTTTGAAGCAATGCATGGCTGGTCTGGGCCTAGGAGAGGGCCAGGCTCCTCTGGAGAACCTGGGAGGTTTGGTTCAGCTGGTGGAGGAGTTGGGTTGCTCCCTTCTGCCTCTGCAGGGAGCTGACTTTGAGGCTCTTGCACTTTGAGATGAGTCACCTAATGGAAGTACCTTTGATCCAGTCTGTCAAGAGTCTGCCAGTCTCTTTTTTCTTTCTAACTTTTTGGTTTCAGCATGCTTGGGAAGAATGTGAATCCTCTGATTGCTCCACTGTCAGAAATGAGAGTGATTTTGGAAGATAACTTCCTTCTCTGCCCTCCTCCTTTGTTTTGCCCACTTGGTTTGAGAGGAGTTAAATGACCATGGGAATTTGGAAGGGATGTAGCTGATGAATAGGGAATACAGATCGGAATTTAGAAATTAAAGAGTTCTAGAAAGAAGGATGAAGCAGGGATGCAGCCATCCTACTCTCAGATAAGAAGTGAGATGTAAAGCAGGATTTAGACGTTGAAATAGAGACATTTTGGAGGGAAAAACATGGCTGGAACTACTAGAAAGCAGGTAATTGGAAGACAAAGAAGATGAAATTATAAAAAATAATTTTGAAAAATAATAATTAAAAAAGGAAAAAAATTAGAAAAAACATACTAGGAAGGACAAAGGCAGACAGGAATAAATAGAAGGAAGATTATAATATGGCAAGAAGTCTTTTGCTGGAATAGCAAAGATCTGACTTACAAATTGAGGAAATTAAATACGGGGGAAAAAAATGTATTCTGTTAATGGAATCAAATATAAATTCTGTGTTTATGCTGATGTAATTAATTATTTTCTGATGAAGTAGGCTTATCTCTGGCCTGAGTTGATCTGCGCTTTTGAAAGGTCTGGTATCTGTGGGTCCAGCGAGGTGGGTTTTCTCTGTGTGTGTATTCTGTTTTCTGGGATTTGTTTTGTTGTTGTGGTTTTTCATGTTCCAAGAAGCAAATAGTGAGATCCTTCCTCTTTTTGGATATGATGAGCAACTAAACCTTGCAGAGTCAAGTAATGGGAATTGCTTGAAGAGCAAAACCATTTTTTTTTCTTATTTCAGTTTGCTTCCTCTTTCCATTTGTCTTTCATAATTCTTTATGCCCACATTGTGTGTGTGAGTAGTATGTCCTTTCAGTATGCATTTGCATTCCATTTGTTATGTCAAAGCTTTCTGTGTTTGAACTTTTTTTTTTAGCATGGTACAAGAGGAGATCTTTTATGCTACAGCATTTTAAACTTACAAGTTAGCTTTTGTTCTTGGTCTTACATGCTTTCTTATATGCCCTTTAGCTGATATTTTGAAAGGATGTTATGAATCTCGACTCATAATTTATAGCACTGTTTAATGAGAAATCTTGTTTGGATGCATGTTTGGGCAACTAATATCTCAATAACTCGATATTCTGACAAAAATAGTTGGGCAGTTTGTGCCCTGATAGCTCATTTAATCTTTCAAAAACTGGCTAGGGGAAGGAAGAGGTGATCTTAGAAAGGAAGAGTTCAATTTTTTTCATACTTCTCAAGAGGGTTGAGGGACACTTGTCAACTCAGTGAAATCTTTTTTTTGGGAGTCAGTTGTCTAGACATGGAGCTCATGGTCTTTCTGTGGCGTCAGGAGATAAAGAGCATACTTTCAGAAAGCATCATGAATGGACAAGCGAATTGTCTTCTGTGAGGGCTCAGAATGGGATTTCTGTAGAAGCTGATACAAGAGGAGGAAATAGTAATTGTAGGGGGTTTGTTGCTTGTCTTTGTTCTGTCGAGGTGCATCATCTCAATGCAAACCTGGTGCCGATATCCATTATAGTAGCCCTTTGTTTCTTTAGGTAGAATCTATTTTTCTCTAGCTCTTAAGTTTTGTATTTATTTTATTTTAATTTTATTTAGCAGACTTTCTTGTTCTGACACTGTTGTAATAAATGTAAGTCATCATAGGTGATCAAGTGTTCTGGTAACTACAGCTGTAATCTTCGGTTGTTGGCCCAGGCACTGTTTTGTCTTGCTGATAAACTCTCTACGTGCTTTTAGGTAACACCTCAAAGGATTATTTCTTAAAACCTGCCTCGGTATTTCTCACTAGTGGTATTGCCTACTCCAAATTTTATACCCTCCAACCCATGCCGAGAATAGCCTTATGTGGAATTTCCATTGTACGTCCTGTAGCTGCTCGGTCATTGGGGAGAGTTTCTTATGCATCTGTGGATTGCATGCAGGGGACTTGAAACTTTGTTGAGGGAACTGTTCAGAGGAGCTTTCTTAACTGCTAGTTGCTGAGAGCTAAAATCTGAACAGTGCAGAGTTCTTGGCTTGCCTCTCTCTGAAAGCACAAGACAGAGGCAATCCTCTGGAATATTCAGAGAGAAGGAATTACAGGTAAGTAATTTGCTTTTGTAGTACTGCAGCTTAAGGGAGGCTGAAGTAAGGCATGTGATCCCGTTGATTAATATCTGCATACAAATTTTTGTGTAAATGTGTGTGTTCTTCATAGGAGAGAAGCGTGTCTACCTATCACTGCCCAGACCAGGGGTAAGTTGCTTTTGAGACTGTTGTATTTGCATTATATGTGCTGTTAACTATTTGACTTCTTTCCGTGTTACACCTTGATGAGGACGTAGTAATAGCTTGGTAACATGCATTCTGACTGGATGGCTGACAGTAAAATATAAAACTTTGTCAGTTTATTAAATGAATAACAAAGATACTGAAAACTAGAGTAACTGATAATATAATACATTTTAATCACTTTGATTGGATGTGAGCTTTAATTCCTGTTCATTAAGATGACATTTTTTACCATGTAATCAACTGCCATTTTTTGTATATAACAAAAAATGGATTGTTACTCTTAAAACATGCTGCAGCATTCTGAAATTTTACGTTGTTGTCTGAGTTGACCTATTTGGAACAAATGGACGTGATCAAGCCTATTGTAGGCTCTTCAAATAATGGACTCTTATTTTCTTCTTTGATTGTAAATGTTTTTAATGCGCAAAAAAAAGCTACACCAAAATGTCCAAGTTTAGTTGTGAGGTAATTAATACCTTTAGCTGATTATAATTGATATTGCATTGTTTCTGAAAGCATCTCTGTGTTAGGAAACCTGCTAAACATTGTTAGTATCATGTAATTAGTCATTTTGATTCACTCACCACATATTTGATCTTCTCATGGGTAGGAAGGAGAAGAATGATCTCAGAAGGTACAGTAAGCTCTAGCTTCTTTCTTTCCCTCCTCACTTTCATTACTTAACTTTAGTTTGTTAACACTAAATTACAACTTCAGTGTAGAGGAATTATGGTGTGAAGTGATCACCTGTCTCCATGTCTCCTGTTGTGCTATTCTGTGACTTCAAACCCAGTGTATTACTTCTGACCCTTAATGAAAAGGGAAAGAGAAAAGTTCATACATTATGAATCCAGTCTGCAGATTTAAATAGAATATAATGCTAGGCTGGGTGAGCATGGGTGAATTTCACGGTTACAGAACTAAATGTTGAGGCTGGAAAATAGATTGGTTCGGTGAGTTTTGATAGTGTTTTTCTCCCTCAGTAGTTTGACTAAGCTACATAGCTTCTGAACTTCAGCCAGAATTTAAAGAAGAGGTGTTTGAAGTCAGATTCCCCCTTATCAACTCATATGCCTTTTAAAAACATTTTCAATAAAAAACTTTTTTTCCCAGGATTTAAACATTTCTGCTTTGTTGTCGTTTGAAAGGGTTCTGCCTTCTTTTGAATTCTGCAGAATGCATAGATTTTGGGGAGTTACGATTAACAGACAGTTTGGAAGTAGACAGGAAACGTAGATTACATCCGTAAAACAACAGAGTTTCTTTACAGGGTAGTTTGTTTGCCTAACTGGTGCATTAACCTTTGGAAGTGCCCCTCTTCCCAGAGCTGTGACTCTCAGCACTGCCTTTTCTGTCCCTGCTGCCATCACAGAGGTCTGCTGTGCCTGGCTACTGCCCATGCGGTCCCTGCACAGAAGCCACGCTGTTCCTCTTGATGTAATGAGATTACATATTTTGTTGCCGCCGTTTAATTGCGACTGTGCTGTTTGCTGGTAATGAGTGGCATCCTAGACCGTGCCATAGTTGAGGCCAGAGCAGTGTAGTGATGATTCATGAGTGTGCTTAATGCACTGGTGTATTTTTCTCTACAGTACTAGATATCAAATTGTGTTTTAAAAGCAAAGTAACTGCTTATCTGTTTTTTTACCAATTCTTCTATTCAAATTGCATGACCGAACACTAGAATGGATAAAACTACAAATCTGACAAACATTATGAGGTTTCTTTAGTTATTATCTGGATACAAAAACCTCTGCTAGAGCGCTAGTTTTCTTGAAAACCCTTTACTCAGAAGCTTAAAAATTTGCCATACCTTGTAGCCCAAAGTTTGTATTTACATACAGATCTAGTTTGGCTTTGTATTACTTATTCTTTTAAGATCCTGCCTTTAAAACAATATTTCTTGAATTGCATCTCTAATACGTAATATGGTCAAACTTAGGGTAATCAGGAGTATCAGTTCTTACACTTTTTGTTAAGTCTTTCAATATGAGATCAGCATTTCTAATTCATACGTAGAATTGCAGTGTCTGATCTGGGTAGACCTAAGATTCAGAGTATTTAAAGATTTTGGGATGGGAAAAGAGAAATGACATGAAAGCTAAACTAGCAGCAAATTGCAGTAGGAGCTTCAGCAGTAACAGCACCAGCACATGAGGTTAAAGCCAGGAACTGCTACTCTACCTAAGAATTTATCTGCAACAAGTCCTGTTACTGTGTATGTGTCGTGCAGTTTGCAAGCTGTGCCTTTTCAGGTATTCCACTCCTCAGTACCACTAATGATTGTTTAATCTGAGCCAATATTTGGGTTGCAACCAGACTGATATTTTGGATAGTTCATGACTTAAATAAAAGAAGGAAACCCATGAAAAGATCAAACTCTCAGTATGTGTTTCCAGCTATTTCAGCCAAGTGACAGAGAATAATTGGCTGCATTATCACACCAGCGTTTATATGGATGGTACCCTAGAGCAGCTTGCTACTAGCTGAATCAAATTCCCAAGTCCCTGTTATATACATACCCAAGTTCCAGTATCATTTTTGATGGAAAGAATAAGTGCAGAGATACTTGATTAAGACTATTTAGTCCTAAGTATTACTGAGGCTTTAGAGGGTAAGGGGAAGAGACAGTAGTGCATGAGGAAGAGGAGCCTCAGAAGTGTGGAAGAAGTCTTTTCCTTGGAACTTTGGGGCATGGACCATGTTTGCATGTGCCATTTTGGGAGGACAGCCAGATCAGAACAGTTTCTCAGCTTCTACTGAGAAGTTTGGCTGAACGACTGCATCTCTCTCGTAAACTCTACCTCTGAGTATACAGCCACCTCTTAGGATTTGTAGTAAAATTGTTACTAATTCCTTTTATTTAAAAAATACTATTTTTTGTTTGAAACAGAAGCATAATGCAAATCTGAAAGCATTAAAGCCAGTCAAACTAGATACTGAGGTAAGATACCATCATTTTAGTAAAAAAACTTTTAAATTATTTTTTTTCTTTTCTGAATAATAAATTTCAAGTGCCATAAATATGGTTACCATTTACAGGAACAGGCCAAAATTGCAAAACTTGGATTAGAATTGCATCTCCTCACATCTGATGTGGATTCTGAGACAGAGAAATGGGAGGATCAGGAGAATGAGATTGTGCAGCATGGACAAGGCATGTCAAGTATGGCCTACTCCATGTATTTATTTACCAGGTAACTACACTGTATGCAGCATGTTTTGGCAAGAAGAAGAGCATTAACAGTGTTTATAAGCAATAAGACAATTTCATTTTAAAAGTATAATAATTGGGAGACGTTCAGAAAGGACCTTTAATTTCTGTCCTTACACTTTACAAACTCTTGGAAATTTCTAAGCTGTTTAGTAATAAAGCTGGGGCTTTTTAAAAGTACTTAAACATCCGTTTTGTTGTACAACAGCTATTTAAATATCTCTTGGGCACGAAAAATATAGTAACCACGTTCATACTTGCAAAATTAAGGGAATTGACTCGAGTTTGTAACTGTAGATTAGAATTACTGACCTTTGCTATACTGAAAGGTGTTCTTCTGAAACAATGTCAGTGTTCTTGTTTGAAGAATTGGGGGTGTTTTTAATGAGAGCTGAGATTTTTCTCACCTAGTAGTCCAGTAATATTCAGTATGTCAGAGACATGGATTTCTGTCCTTGTTCAGCTGATGAGAGCTGAACCACTGCTAATTTCCCCAGAGTGCTCTAGTCACTGAGGTGTTTATTTAATATTTTGAAATGCAGTTCATGTAAGTTATTGTTGTGCATGGCATCTTCTAAAAGAGTGATATTTTGCAGTTCAGTGGTGTGAATGGTGGTGAGAGAGAGATAGATACTACAAATTGTGCAAGTAGCAGGCAAAATAATTTGAAGTCTGTACATGACATGTATTCTGTCTTCATTATTTCCCACAGAGGAGAAGGACTTCTGAAAACAACTCAAGATTTATTTCATCAAGCAGAGGTAATACATTTTTACCAAAACAGGAGTGACTCTGAATAAAGAACAAATTGGAACTTAACTCTCTGACTCCTTACACATAAGTACGATGTACCATGAATTTACTGGCAACTGTAGTTTTTAAGCAGCCTGACTCTGGTATGTACTTTCTGAAAGCTAACATTTCAGTGTCCAGTAGCAGCTTAAGCCATCATTCCTTAAAATGACAGATTCCAGTTGGGAGTAGGAATGGCCAGCTGGCATTACGGAAAATGTAGTGGACTTCAGTCCATTAGTAGTAGGCATTGTGTCACTTAGCTCAGTCCTTGGTAGCGTTAATGGATACCATTACGCAGCAGTATTTTTGTGGGAAAGAAAGAAGATGTAAAAATTTGAGTAATACAAACAAAAGACAAGGGGCCAAATGAAAGATTATGGCATATTTCCCATATACGTGCCTGTGTTTAACAGGAGACTGGTTACCTTTGTCAGGACAATATAAAAGCATGGCAGGTGTCATCTACCAACAAAATTTTTGTGAGCTGCTGCAGTGGAAGAAAGAATTTGAAGTCAGGTTTTTTAATATGCAAAGGGAAAGCCTTTAAATTTTGCTTATCTGGGAAAATGTTTGTAGTGCAGCTTGTTATTTCTGAAGTCACTGCGAACTGCTGACTTGTTAATTATAAATGTATACAGATATCACAAATATTTCTTGCTACCTTTTTACTTTATAGCACACTATTTATTAAAAGGACAAGGAAAAAGAGCTTCATCTTCCATCGTGGTTCATTTTGTTATATGCTTTCTTCCCCTTTTCAGATTTTTGCTACAGAGGGCGCAAAGCTTGCTTCAGCTCTTCATGCCTTTTCTGACCAGGTGATGTATGACCTCTGAAACAGTCATTCAGCTTCTGACACTGGTGATAACTGCTTCAGAGGTGGTTGTGTTATCTTCTCCCATAACTTAATATTGGAGTCTTTAACACAGGGTGGGTTTGTCTTCCTGAAACGCATTCCAGGTACATGATGATGACAAACCTTTGCTTCTGTTGGAGGCTGAAAAGCTGATCTCTTTGTGCAGTCAGCTCCAGATAACAGCTAAAGCTTCTGTTCAGGGTAAAAGTGCTACATTTACAAAGGTAAGGTAAAAATTTTATATATATATATATATATATGTACACACACACACACCTGAAAGTAAGATCTAACTTGTTTTGAAATATAGTACCTTACTAATTTATGCTCCTGTTAAAATATGAAACAGTTCATGACAGCTCAACTTCTTGGATTGACAGAGGATCATAAAAATTAATAAGTACAAAATTTTATGCTGTTGTACAAGCATTTTTCTGCTATGCAAAATGTCATCTTTGCTGTTCCTTATGTAGAAGAGGAATTTACTTGGAGTTTCGTTTTGCACTTAACATGACTTGAGAAGCTGATGTGCAAAGTGTAGAGGAAGAACAGTAGGAACTGTTCCTCTTGCTGAAAATGTTTTGTCTGCTGGGACATCCCTCACTGCTAACTGCAATCCAAGCCATTTGCTGCACTAGCTTCTATCAGGAAGAGATTTTCTTTAGCACAGGTGCTGCTGTTTTCTAGCCTTTTTTAAGATTCTCTTAAACTTTTTTACCACCACCAGAGAAGGGCTTTAGTGGAGTTTAGCCTGACCTGACCCCTTCATTCATGCTGAGGATAGGAAGCAAAATATGGTACACTGGCACCCAGCATACATGGAAGCCTGCCAGTGGACAGCTTGGATGGTATCAATCTACAGGCTTGTATGAATGTTTGCTTTGGGAAGCATGGATAACTGGCCCAGTGGCCACAGACATAGCACTGATACTCGTTTTAAGGAACAGTTTCCTTACCCCTAGCTTATCAACTTTAGGGTTTAAGAATCAGTAAAATAAGTAATAGGACTTTTTTTCGTTCCTATTACTAAAAATACTGAAGTTATCATTTGGGTTTAGGATTTCACTCTTGAGTTTACAGAAATGTTACCCAAGACAGTGATGTTCCTGGACTGCTCTTAAAGAAAACAAAACAGAAAGGTGTCCATAGGCTTCCACTACTTTCTGTTCCTTTTTACTGCTGAGAACTTTTTTCAAAGAACTTCTGTCAACATCTCCCTCAACTTACCCACTTGGAATTTTGTCATGCTGCAGCTGAGAATTTTCAGCTGAATAATATGAGATGGCGTAATACTGTATATATATACAAATAATACTGTAATCAAGTAAATTACAGTAATCATATTATAATACACTAGAAGTTAATTCAGAGAAATATGAACTGTAATTAAGCATACCTCACTAAGAAAGGACTTCAGTGATCAAAATATTAATGAAGGTAATTTGTATTTCTACCACTGAAATAATTATTGGTATTCTCTTACTGATGCTTAACCTAAATGTAACAAATTCCGAACCACAAAGACTATTACTAAATGCTTGCTTCTTAGTACATGGTCTACCCTATACCACCCAGAGTTTATTCTGATATTACACGTTTGTTGCAAGTAAATAGGTATACAGCTGCCATAGAAGTTTCAGCATTGTTACCACGATAAGTAGATCTGCAAATTTTAGTGAGGAATAGAAGTCAGGCTTTTTGAAGAACTTTAATATCCCTGAGCAGCAGGGCACGTGAGTTTGCTATGAGCTATGGAAAAGATGTTTCAGTTTTACAGCAGGGACTGAAACTGTCTCAACCATCCAAGCCACACAAAACCAAACTGAGCACCTCAGGGCTGCTGCTTGGTTTGTTTTGTACTTTCTAGCTAAATTAAATGGGAACTCCCATCTATTTATACACAGTGATGCATCACTACGTGGTGAAAATAGGCTCTGAGAGTCATGTTTGTCGAGGGCCCAGACTTGTGGCCTGTGCTGAGTGTTAGATTTGAGGCATAAACTCAAACACTCTGAGATTTAGCTGACTTCCAGTGTAACTCCTATCAAGGTAAGGCTTACATGATGCGTGGCTTTCTAAATCATGCTGACAGGACATAAAACGAAAGGAAAAACACAAAGAATTGCGATGAATGATATTTAGATGGTAAGAACTCCTTTCTAAGACACTTCTGTTACTGTTTAATTTTATATTACTAGTTCCTTCCATGGGATGTGTCATTCCCTTCTGCTTCCTATCTCAAGTTTTGGGTTAACAGAAGGGATACTGTTGCTTTACGTGTACTACATAGAGAAACTCAAAGCAAGGCAAAACCTTCTGATAGAAGGGATTTACAAAAGAAAAATATTACCCATTCAAGCTTGAAATAAATTTATCATCTCATGCATTAAACAACTGCCTAATAAAAGTAATCAGTGGTGTTACTCTAATTGCCTTGTTTAGGTTGACGCCTGCATCCTGAAAACGAGGAACATAATGACTCTGTTATGCCAACTTCTTCCACTTTGCTGCAAATTACTGAGAAAGGTGAGTCTTGGTTCATCTGCAGGATTGTGAAGGGTTGTGGTGGGGTTTGCTTGTGGGATTATTTTTAATATTTTTTTTCCTTTATATATGTATACAGAATAAAGCAGGAAATGGCTGTCTCAAACCTGCTCCACCGTGGAGAGAAGACAGAATACGAACTGGTACAAATGCACATACTCCAGAAAGGAGAGCCGAGACATTTGGCATCAAGTCTTTAGAAAATCATGTAACAAACATGACATTTTTAGAGAGCAAGTAATTTTAGCACTTAGAAATACAGGAACTCTCATTTGAAAGTAACACTCACTGAATTATCAATATTGCTTTCATTTGTGGAAAGTCAAACCAGGTTAATTTGAATTAAAATTGTTGACTTTTGTCACATCTAATAGATGTCCCATTACTTAGCAATTACACCACCAAGTAGTCTAATCGTTACGTATTTTTATAATGTGAATGCCTTTCCTATGCTTACTGTTGATACTGGTTTTATAATTAATGCTTATGAATGTCTTAATGGATGTTTCAACCCAAAGATGCTGCTAATAGACCTTTTCTATAAAAGAACCTTGTGCTGCATATGCTGTACGTAACACTACTGTTGAAGTCTGTACACTCATCTCTGGACTGTTCCAGTCTGTCTGGTAAAGCAGAATCAGGAATATAGTCTGAAAGGCTGTGGCCTAAAGCACTGAAATGTTATCTTAGTTATACCTGCAATGAAGTAGTTCTAGCAAAAACCCCCTCTTTCAATAGCTGCACCACTGAATTTTCATCATCTCAACGTGATTCGAATTTCCAAAAGTGTATTTTCACATGATTAACACTCTTGACTCAATCCCTTTTTCTTTTAGCATTTGTAGATGAGTTGTTGCTTCCTTTTTTGTTAAAACTTACTGAGCAGAATTTGAATTGCATGTAGAACCACTGAAGCATTACCTAGACTTTGCATTATGCCATTTAAAATTTAAGAGGATAGATACTGATGATAACAAACTTCTGTACAAAGGGCATTGTTTGACACCAGAATGCCATGAAAATATAGCCTGGTGTGAAATACATATTTTCAAGTTTATCTGCTCTTTGTACATAGGCTTCTGTTGTGTTTTTATTTTCAGTACAACTTTGTCAAACTCCATATTGTATTAGTTTAGCTAAATTAAGTGATAGCTAAATCATATGATTTTCCTGTGTGTATTATTCTTGCACTGAGCAGAAGCAAAGCTGCCTGTGGAACACAAATACTCTCCACCATATCTTTCTGTGCTTATTTAAAATCTTGTAGTGCCAGAAATCAGAGAAAAAGAGAAAGCAAATTTTAATATACAAATTATTTGAACTGGTTTATTCCTGTATGAATCAAGTGTTTAAGTTCCACTTCTAAAAACAGGCACCGGGCCTTTCAATACCACGAAAGTTACAATGTACAATAAAAGCAGCTTAAATAAGATATCAAATACAGATGATAGCTGTATAATTAACTTCATGAAGAAGAATTAAGACGTTTTGACAGAACTTCCTCATACTCCTTCTGCGTCAGAAGTCCTTGAGTTACACTCTTGCTTTCTTCAAATTTGGGTAGAACCACTGCAATGTACCCCTCAGTTGACGGCTAAAAAGCAAGACTGAAGTTAGTAGTGAAATAAAAGTTAAAAAATAAAAAAGCAAGAAAGTTTCTTACCTTTTCTTGCAGAATAGCTGGATTGCTAAGAATGTTTTCATTCACTTCTATCAGGCGCCCTCGTATACAACTGCAGAAGTGTTACATTTCAGTAAAAGTGCGTGGTATGTCCAGGTAAGAAGAAAAAGTGAAAAACCTTACCTATAAATGGTGTATTCCTCTCCATCTGATGACGATATCCTGCACAGAGGGGCAAGTTCTGTTAAAAACTGAGCTCCCTGCATTTGGAAAGAAGAGACACATTACATAGACACACACTTTTAGATACACAGGGCTTTAAAAAGCATTACTACCAGTCAGCAACGCTAGAAGTTTGTAAGCTTCAGACCAAAGCAAGGCAGTGTGATAGCAACAGGTCACTGCAAGTTCCATAGCTGCGCTTCCCCACGGAAGGGAATATGGCAACTTCATTACGTGCCTGAATAGGTTAGAAGCATGTAAGAGCTTACAAATTTAGTCATAATTAAGTTGATTGTAGTTTAATCAGATCAAAATCAGCAGAGAGAGGAGAAAAACCGCACAGTTGACTTTAATTTAACCAGGTCAAACTAGACCTATTTGAAGACGCACCATGAAACACACTGAACTAGCCCATCTGCTGTCCAGGTCTGTTTGACAAAAAACCAATAGTCTCCAAATCCTTTGCATTTGGTGGAATGAAATTTTTACTTCTGAAGGCATGTTTAAGTCCCTCTATTTATTATGTAAAAGTGACTGTTAGCCTTGGTTTGAGCAACACTGAAAAGTACCGGTGCTGTAGGAACACTGTAAGGCCCTGGCTGGGCCAGTCTGACAGGCACCTCTTGAGGAAAGCATACGTTCTTTACCTGTGGAGGGGCTGTTTTAAAATGCAAAGGTCACTTGGTGAGCTTATGGCCTAGAAAGGACAAAGTCTCAGGCACTGTGAGAGGTGGAAATGAAAACTAAGCACATCAAAAAGCCATACCCTTTTTGACTTCCCAGAGACTTTATTCTGGAGCCTGCTACAGTTGGCACTGATTTGGTAATTAATGCTTGTGATTGTTTTTCCATTTTGAAGAAGAGGATGGGCTTCTGCCAAGGTGATGACACAGATTCTGCAACAAGAAACATGATTATTATGCTGCAGTAGTGAGAAACCATGCTCTTACATGCTCTAAGCCAGCTCCACAACCTTCTTTGCCTGTACTGGTGGGGTTTAAAACCAATACTGACAACTTCATTTGGGGTCCTAGTCTACAATGCTAGCAAGACTTGAATGTTGTGAAAGCTGGTTTTTTTACTTTCATTCTGTAAGCATGGTCTTCCCTCTGGAGTTCAGTAGGAAAGTTAAGCTGATAACGCACTGCAAGTCCTACTTGGGACTTGCCTGCTGGGCTCAGGGGACAGGTCTGGGCGACAGCATGGGTCTTGAGTAGGGTAGAACACAATTCACCTGAGCTAATGAAGAAGAATGGAGGATAACTGTTGTCTGCTCAGCAGAGACAAAGTTTAGTTTCCCATTTACAAAAATGTCAGATACAGGATCAAATCAAACTCACTTTCTTCAGAGCATCGTACTTGACGTCTGCTCTACCAAACCAAATGAAAACTGCAGTCTGACCTAAAGCAACTCCCACAGAAGGGGCTTTGAGATACCAGACTCAATCATCAGAAGTGGTACAGTTCTTAATTAAACAGAACCACAGCTTCTATCTGTTGCTGTACCTCATGTGAGCACATTTGGTTCACTTTGCTGATAGCTGAAGCAGATCTTCACTGAAAACGGTCGAGTAAACCACAGTATGCTTTTGTAGGGACACAAGGCCACCTTACTCAGAGCAGCTAAAGGCCACTGGTGGTGAACAGTTACAGCAGATGAATCATTTGGTGATCTAGGCTTTAGTTAACCTGGTTGCATTTTAGTTTTTCCTAAAGAGGGGTTATTTCCTGTCACAAAACTGGAGAGTTGGAGACAAGCCCAGCTGCAGAGTGTGCCTGCTCTCATCCCTGGGTCAGAACCATGCTCAATGCATAATAAATGCCAATAAATGAGCAGAGAAGAAGCTGTCCTTTTGCTTAAGTAGAGCTTAAACCTATCACAGAATCACAGAATGTTAGGGATTGGAAGGGACCTCAAAAGATCATCTAGTCCAATCCCCCTGCCGGAGCAGGAACACCTAGATGAGGTTACACAGGAAGGCATCCAGGCAGGTTTTGAATGTCTCCAGAGAAGGAGACTCCACAACCTCTCTGGGCAGCCTGTTCCAGCGCTCTGTTACCCTCACTGAGAAGAAGTTTCTTCTCAAATTTAAGTGGAACCTCCTGTGTTCCAGTTTGTGTCCATTACCCCTTGTCTTATCATTGTTTGTCACCGAGAAGAGCCTGGCTCCATCCTCGTGACACTCACCCTTTAAACATTAATGAGGTCTCCCCTCAGTCTTCTGCAAACTAAAGAGACCCAGCTCCCTCAGCCTTTCCGCATAAGGGAGATGCTTCACTCCCTTAATCATCTTTGTAGCCCTAAAGGACCAGAATTAACAGAACAGTAATGGCAGAGAAAACCACACCACAGACCCCGAGCTTTCCCTGCGGGTGCTGCTTCTGTCTCCCTGCACTGGTGTCTGCTGCTCCCTAGGCGAGCTCTTGCTGGGCGGCTCCCCACAAGAGGGAGCTGGATCCTGGCAAATGCTTTCAGCTTGCCCCGCACCTCAAAGGCACTAGGAAAGCTACCTCCGCTTGACCCCAGCCTCTTTCTCTATTTGAGCCGTCATCTATTAGAGCCGAGACCTGGTAAATCAATAAATCAACAAAGAATTTTACACTGCTTAGAAATAATCAAACTGACCTACAGCTCCATATATAATTATGGTAAAATACTTAGCCTTTGGCAGAGCTGCTTATATTTCAGAACTCAAAATGGCAAAATAATCTTTACAGACATTTGAACAGGCATTTATATTTTTATTTCCTTTGCCGTGTATCACCAGGATTTCAACTGTTGTCAACAGAACACTTGAAGGGAAGGTGTGTTATTGGAGTCCAACCCGGGTACAGGGTTGATTTATTTCCAATGACTGGATAGCTAGTTACAGCAAAGTAGAAGCAGTGCCTATGACATTTCTGATCTTGCATTCACTGTCTATAGTACACAAAAGTACAATTAAAAGCAGTAAGGTTCAAACTGAGCCAATTAACTTAGTAGAAACCAAATTAAACAGACTGCTTCTAAACATCACTACAGAAAAGCCTATTGAAATGTTGCTTTTCTGCTACTGAAGATGGTGTAAAGGGTCCTTTCTGCAAGAGGGGATGCAGTGATGTGAGGGCAGCACTGCACACACTGATGGGGCATTCAAAAAAAACCTGTTGAGCAAATGGTGTGGGGGGAGGAGTTCAAGCTCCACTGTTCTCAGTGGAGCAGTAATTAAGGAACAGAAATTAAACAGCAATCTTCCAGAAAAATCCCGGCTTGCCCGGTATTTTCCACCTGTTACCTTCCGGGCGTTTCTGCAGGAGTCTTGGTTTGGTACCGCGACTACGAGCAAGCTGTAGCAACCGCTGCTCCCTCCGAGGGCAAGGGAAAGGAGAGGCGGAGCAGGTAGAGGCTGCTGGCGCTCGGTAAGCCGCCTCCATGGGTCAGAAGGGGAAGCGGGGTGGTCCTGTGTCCTGCCGGAAAGCAGCAGTGGTTCCTTCTCTAAAGCCAGCCGGGGCTTCCCGAGCCTGAAACCCGGCGGGCCCGGGCTGACGGCGGTCACCTGTCCTCGGAAGAGGGCGGGGGCAGCCCCCAACACTTCTCCATCC